CCATTCACATCCAGGGCTTGGCTGCTCAACTCTCCACAGCAGATTTACACCTGCAGAAAACACTTACCTGTTCTACAAAGGGATCCCTTGTCTTTCAGAAGGAATTAAATCTCATGGATAAATACAAGTGGGTTTATTCCCTTTGTGCACAACTGTGGCAGAATAAGATAGCGACTCGAGGTGTGGCCGGAAAACCTTTCCCTCCATGGCCCGCATCTTGTCACCCAAGGTAAATACGCAGCTTAATGAAATTTCAAGAGGGAAGGGGTGAAATATTTGCCTTTATGTTCATTACCCTTTAAAGCAGGAACAATATTTGAAGAGAAACAAAGATAATGATCATATGCGGTGAACAAACACAGCCTAGATCCTGGATTAATCCAAGGACTTAAAAACCCAGGCGCTGGGGCTTCGGTGGCACAGGGGGAAGCACCCATGTCCCATAGAGCACGTAGGCCTTGCACTGGTCCTAATGCCTCTGCCAGAAGGACCCCTCAGATGGCATCCTCACACACTGTCCCAGGGATGCAGCCACCACCAGCAGCAGCATCCACACGTCCCAGGGAGCATTTGGCCTTTGGCATCGCGCTGTGTTCACAACTGATGCTCCTGGTGCATCTTCCACCCTCTAGTAAAGCCTGCGGTTGCTCTTCCTCCTTTCACCCATTACAGAGCCCATTTAATCCTTGTAGGCCCTTAGGAAAAATACCACTTGGGAAGTTTACAAATCACGGACTGCACCGTAGCAGGGAATCTGTTTGCTGGTACCAGCCCGAGGCTTCAATATAGGAGCAAGTGCTGAGCGCAGCAAAGTGAACACCTATAGAGCTCCCCTACAGGAAATCCTGCAGGTCGAGAGTGGCTACGCTCTATCGGGTACATACAACACATGTGGAAATACCCTCTAAAGATGTTGACACAACAAGCTGTACCGGTTCCAACAAAGCCATTAGTGTCAATTAGAACATCGGATGCATTCCCAGAGCTAAGCACCAGCCAGCCTGGAGGGAGATGGGGATATCGGTGTCAGTGCTCTTGGCAAATGCCACATGCAAATGGGTGGCACCTCCAGCAGCTCATTCCTCCTCCCAAGGAGCCATGCTAAAGGCTTGAAGGTGATGGAGGAGCACTCATGAAGCACGTTACACACCTCACCCTTTGGGACTACCACAGCTTTACTACATGGAGGAAGGGGAGCTCAGTATTTACTCTGCAGTGCAAACAGGGCTATAAAGCTGTCAGAAAGGGTTTTGAGGGGCATAAATAGCACTTTTATCTTCTGATCTTCTCTCCTGTGCTCATCGGCAGGGCAGGCAGCAACGCTCCATTGCACCTCGAGTTTTCACTGGCAGCTAAAAAGCAACCAGGAAAAGAGAAAGGGAAGGAGAGGTGAGAAAAGGAAAGCCCTTCCTTTGGCGTGACCTGAGGACAGCAGCATCCTGCTGCTACTTCCCTTTGCAGGCTCCTCAGATAGGTGTTTGCTGCTGAACCCTGTGATTATCACATTATTCCCACCTGAGCCTGTCCAGGAGGGGCTGGGGCATCCCAACAAGGGCTCATCGATAGGATTTTAGGTGCATCTCTATTTGCCACACAAGCTGAAATCAGTGCTTCTGTACCACCGGAAGGTGCGTATCCCAGGGATGAGCACCTATTCCACACTAGACTGGTAGGCAGCAAGTTCTGCTCCATTCTGGTGTCACAACTACAAGAGGCTGCTCCCAGAAGAACCCTTCAGACAGCTCCGGAGGTTTAAAGCTGGAGATTGACTCCAAGGAGTTTCAGACCCTTCGTTTTGAAGCAGAGATGCACCGCAAGCTGGAACGTGAAGAGAATCTGGGTTTTGTGCCCATTTGGAACAAGGACCATGGGGTTCTGCTGGGTTTATTAGAGGTGAAAAGGAGGGAAAGGACCTGGAGAAGCCCCGATCCTCTTGACAATGTTGGGAAGAATCCAATGTAGAAATAAGGAATGGGAGACATGGGATGGAGCAAGATCAAACTTGGGCTCTGCCTTTGCAGACCCCACAAGTACAGTGGGGCTGTGGCTGAGGGAGCTCGGCTGGCTCAGCCTGGAGAAGAGAAGGCTCCTTAAGGGGTTCCGTGATTTCACTTCCTGGGCACACCAGAGCAACCTGCATCAGACAGAGCGGCAAGCAGGCTCCCTGCACGGAGCCACCCCATGGCCAGGAACATTCCCTACTTGGAGCTGAAAGTCGCTCCTTTCATTATGGGAACGTTCGGATTCAAACTCGCTTTTTGCCTTCAGAGCCCACCAGTGCTGTGCAGAAACCGAACCCACGAGGGTGCCTTTTCCTTGTGATGGAAGGGGCAGGTAAGATCTGAAGCAGCTCAATGGCTGCTGGGGTTTTCCCTTCAAATGATGCAGCAAACATGAGCAAAACCTCAGCAAACAAGGAGCTCCCCAGGCACTTTGTGCCACGGAGAGGCGGGGGAAGGCATTCCCATTTGGGAATGCTGAACAACCCATACCTGTGGGTTTGCTTTGCCAGCGTCAGGAGCCCATTCCTTGTGCTAGCGGGACCGTGCTTCAAAACCCTTCAGAGGCTCCCAGAGGAGCACAAGCCCATAACAGAGATTTCAGCTCACAACCCCTCCCAGGAGTCATTTTCTTCCTCCCATGTGCTGGCAAAGGGCTTGATGTGACTCATAGCGAGGCGCTGAGCCTGCCGAGTGCTCAGGCAACACTAGAAGGCACCATTCCCCCAGGGATCAGGCCACCTCCTGCTGCTCTCAACACCCAAGGAAAGCCACAAGCAGGAGCCTCAAAGGCCAAAGAGAATGAGAAGGTTTTATTTCCTTGAGCTCCAGTGATACAACTGTAGCAGCATCTCACAAAGGGACTCCTGCACTGTTAAACATACATTTAAAGGAAACACATTAAATTCCAAGGCAGGCAAAAATATATATATAATCTGTAAAATTAAGAACTGCAGACAAAGATCCTCATCCTCCCTCTTAAATAACATGTGCGTTTGTTGCAGACAAAGCAGCACAACATGGTTCACAGACCAGGTTAAAGTGAAACTTCACTCGCAAAGGCAAACCCAGAAGGGATGAGGAGGGGCTTTGGTGAAGGGGCTTTCACTGGGATCCAGCATCACGTACAGCAGGAAACATTCCAAACATAGAAGAGACCTCTGCAACTATCAGATGGGATGCTGCATCCCTCTCCAAGGAGGATGCACAGCCAGGACCACCCTCCTTGTCACTCCATGTCCACAGGCTCCATCCCTGGGCAAATCCAGCCTTCACATCCCAGCTACTCACAGGTTACTCCAAACAGGAGATGAGGTTCTCCCAGAACAGCCAAGGTGAAGTCAGAAGTATTAAAGCTAAGCAGCCAGAGCAAGAGGATGATGCGCTGGGGACCGCTCACCCAGTGTGACTCCTACTGAAGCCACACTGGAAGCCGTCGCCTTCCATGTGATGCTACAGTCTGCCCCTTAATATTAAAGTGACCCAAAAATGTTCAAAGTGTTTCTGCCCACCTCAAAAGGAAATATTTGGTGCAGTTCTGGTTCCTGTTAGTGATAACTCCAGTTTCTCAACAGAGAAAGACATCCAAGGCTAAGAAACAACTCCAGCCCCTGCATGCAGAGATAGCTGAGAGCTTTCTCCAGCTGCACCACCACTACCAGTGGCCTCAAGCTCAGCATTTGTACACTTTTAAGACACAGGGTGCATTTGACACAGTGATTCATTCAGTTTAAGTGGCAACAAAAAGGCATCAAGAAGCTCATTTCACCATCAGCAATGGTACAAGGCTAATTTACACAAGGCACATGCACCACCACCCGGAGAGGTGCGCTTTGATTTACCTTCTCCAAGTAACACAGCAAGAGGTTTAGGTCTGTTTAGTGTCATCCCACCCAAGGTGCCTGGTGGATAGGACACCTCCAGTGACACGTGCCAGCCCAAAAGCTGCCATCACACTGCAGCTCCCCCAGAGACATCCCACCCAGTGCAGACAGCAAGCTGAAGCCACATCTCCACAAGCCGCACCATGGAGATGGTGCCAGCTTGAGCCATCACTTCCAGGGAGGATGGAGATGTGCCCGCTGGTGTCCTGTCACTTCGGTTTACACATCCAGGCCCCTGAAATCCCTCATTGGCTCCTGATCACCCAAGTAACTGGTTAAAGGCTGCATTTGGGGTTGGAATCCCATTCCCAGCAGGAGCAGGCACAGCTTTGCTGGCCACTGCAAAGCTCAGCATCCCACAGCAGCAAACCCAGAGCACAAGGAACCTCTCTAGGTTGCCTTTTTGATGTTTTCTCCCCTCCCCAACAGAGATGAGCAGCAGCTTATTGTCAAACATGGGGCTGGGAGGTGCCTTCGATTCTGTAGGGCACAATTCCCTATGGATGTCCCTGCCTGCTGCTGGTTTGGTGCTGCCAGGATGTGACCCTTGTGACTCTGTAGCCAACCTGTAAACAGAAGCCCCGGGTCCCCCCTTAGGGAGCAGGGCAGCTCCATGCACCCCACTTCCAGCTATGGGGATGTGCACGGTAGCTCCGGTGAGCGGGATTTGGGCCTTGGTGGGAAAGGATGAATAAGTTAAGGGAGGATGAGGCTGCACAGCCACCACACACCACCAGAATGTACCTTTAAAAAAGTAGCTGCAAAAAAAAAAAGACTTTTCTGATTAAAATGCACATTTTTAAGTCTTCTCCTTGTAAAACACAATGGAATTGTTTCCCCCTTTCCCCCACAACGTGCTTTGGGATGTCCTTCCTTGGTGGTGCCCCTGGTCCTTCTCCTTCCTCATCCCAACGAGTCTCAAGGGGGGTACCAAGTACCTTGACACCCCACAAGAACCCAGGCCACCGTTTGGGGGTTCAGTGCTGGAGAATTAAAGCCAATCTGGCTATAAAAATAAATGCTTTTGTGTCTTCCTCGCACAGGATGGAAGAATCGAGCCCTTTCTAAACAGCATCCAGCTGTAGGAGTAGTTACAAACCCAACCCAAACGCCTCTATAGAAAAATAAAGGATAAACATTATCCATCTATTTCATGTTCATATAAAAAAGTAAGCTCTGTGACAGGATATTTTGCTTCTTTGCTGTAAAAAAAGCGACCACCCCAGCCTGGGTTATACGACCCAAGCTTTGCGGTGAGGAGTAAACTGCACCTTCTACTTATTCAGAGAGAAAAATATCAGTCAGCAATTTCACTTCTCCAAAATAAAGTTATTAAATATATATATTATTATGATGAGTCTTTATAAATCTTTTCATGGAGCAAGGAGGGGAACACGTGGCTGAGGAGCACTTGAATCCCTGAGGAAGGGAGAAGTGGACGTCAGCTGCGATTCCACCACGAACCTGGTACTTCCCTTAGCAGAGCCCCAGAGCTGGCTGGCTTGCAGGTACACACACACACACACGCACACACACAGAGGGGACACAGGGGCTGGCGTTCACCCTGGCAGTCCTTCACTAGGATGCTCTCTTCTCCAGCTTGTGCTTTGTGAGAAAGTACTTGAAGAACTCGTACACGGACCAGGCAATGGCTGTGGAGGGCATCTGGTAAATGACACGTGCCTGTACCCCCCTGAAACACCCCGAGATACCCCCCAGCTGATAGACAGTCTTGAAGGCATTCACCATGCCCGTGAGGTGCCCGCTGATGTTCACAGAGCTCAAGGCCATGTTCTCCTGGGTGTTGAGCAGGGTCTTGCAGACATCCAGAGGAGTGGTGGCGGCGGCGGCCACGGCCCCCGCGATGGCACCGGAGACGATGTGGGACCGCGGGTTGTACTCCCTGTGCGGGTTGATGTGCTCCTGCATGAACTCGTAGGTGATGAAGTGAATGGCCTGGAAGGGCACGTTCATGGTGAGCTGCGTGGTGTAGCTGCGGTAGAAGGCACCGAACCCTTCCGTCTTCTGCACTGTCCTTATGCACGCCAGGACGGACTTGTAAGGGGAGTTGAACATCTGCATCCGCTGCTTCACCACTGCTCCAGGCGATGGCCACAGGGTGGGCAGCACCAGGCAGGACAGGCACAGGGACATACACTTATTAGCTAAAGCACATCTTTCCTGGGCATCCCGACACCCAGCCCTGCTCCACGCCCCAACCATCCAGAGCCAACCTCCCCAAGTCCGAACTGCTACGACATAAAGCAGGTATTTCTGCAGCAATGAGCTCCTTGTCAATGGGCTTTCATCAAACAGCTCCATAGAGCCTCTGCTTCCTCCCAGCCTGCCCAGTGCCTTTAATTCTAGCTAGAAAGGCATTGAGACAGACCGGTAAGGACCCTCAGATGCACTCGTAAGTGCTGAAACACTGACGCACCAAGAGGACAAGGGCAGAAAGGTGATTGAATCAGCTGGGATGTATAACGGACCCCAGCCCTGAAATGGAACAACTTCCACTGACTTAAGCAAAAGGCCAATTCATTTGATCAGGATGTGATTAAAAGGATTTCAAACACTAGAGACATTTTTTCCTTCAGAAAAACCTGATCTTGGGCCAATTCAGAAGCCACATACATTAACACTGACGAGCTGGCAGCCCAGCTGATTGTCTTCAGTTTAGCTGCATTTTACCATTAGCCCTCTTCATGCTGGACTCTACCTACCCAGGAAGCACTAGCAGAGTAAAAACAGCATCGTGTTAGTAGAGGGGACCCCAGCTTCCCTAAGAAATCACAACATGCCATGCAGATGCTGTGCACCCCCTTGGCAAGCAAGGGAGAGCAGCCAGGCAGAATCTATCCCTATGCACTGACCTGCCTGAGCTCGTTAAAAGTTGGGCAGAGTCACTAAAGCAAAGGGCTTAAGGTGCTGAGATGGCACAGGGTGTCTTCCCAGGCTAACGGGGTGCAGCACTTCCCAACAGCACAGGGCATTACCTTCAGCAGGATTCATCACTGCGTCGTGGAGTAGCGTGGCCACGCTCCCAGCTATACCTGCAAGACACAAGAGCATCCTTTCAGAAGGACATTCAGAAGCCAGGGCTTGCCTGGGCACTGCCATCTGCAGAGGCAGCAGCCAGCATCATCATGGAATGGTTTGGGTTGGAAGGGACCTTAAAGCTCATCCAGTTCCAACCCCTGCCATGGGCAGGGACAACTTCCACTAGAGCAGCTTGCGCCAAGCCCCTGTGTCCAACCCGGGTACCACTGCCTGGGATGCTGCAGCCCAAGGAAGGGCCCAGCAACACAACTCACTCCCAGGGCAGAAAAACCCCATCCGAAGCAGCCTGGCTGGAACCAGGATCCCAACCATCACCTTTGCGACTCCCTACAACAACTCCCAGGGTTTTGTCTGTGCAGGAAAGCACCAGGTTCACTGAGCCTGTGCTGGACTGAGGCATGAGCAATGTTTAGCACTGGCTCAGTTCATCCATAATTAGGCATTTTCATCCGTTTACTCAGTCTAGTTTTAAACACAAATTGCCCAGATTCTGCCAGCATCCAGCCAGCCATTAATGATTGTGCAGTTGGCTCAAGGATGGGCCTCTCAAGCCACACCTTCTCCTTTGATGTAGGTTTTCATCTCACATTCTCTCTTGCCCAAATAACTTTCGGTCATTTCTCATTAAGGCAGCACTTCACTCTCCCCACTGGAACCAAAAGCCTGTAGCTACTTGAAAGGCAAACCCAGGAAGCACATTGCTAGCAAAAAGCAGCAAGCCAGAAAGCTGTTACGTACCCTTAACTGAGGTGGTTGAGTCAAGTGGGAGCTGCCAGGGCAGCTTCCCATCATCGCATCGTGTCAAGGACCACCACAGGGGTGGCAGGTACCACACTTGCCCCCTGCCTCTGCAGCCCTTCCAAAGCAGGGACCTGCAAGCCTGGGATGACATTTCCACCCCACATCCTCCCATGCAGGTATTCACAGCAGCGTTCCGAGTGCTGGCTGCCTACAGCAGCCCTTCCCAGAGCACAGCACAGCGAGGGATGCCAGGCCAAGCACATCAAGCAAGCGAGAGACAGGCTGGTAACTGCAAGCTTATTTTTGTGCATACCCCCCCCCCAGAAATACCATTGGCCAAGTGGCTGTTTCCTCCATGCTGGAAAGTGTCACTTAGAGACTTTTTCATCTTTTCATAGCAGGCAAAGTACATGGCATGGGCAGGGCCAGCCCCCAGCATGGTGACATTGATCCCACGTAAAGGCCTCCAGAAACCCTCCGTCAGGACAATCTTCTTCAGCGCTTCATACACACCCCTGTACTGGGCTTTGGGGTCCGGCTGCAAGCTCTGCATCCTGGTCTGCAACAAAGCACACGAAGGGAGAGGCCTCAGTTAGCCCACCTCGAACGCACCAAGCGCCAGGCGCAGAGTGAAAGAGCCATCATGAGCGGGCTCCGCCGCTCAGCCCCAGCTGCACCCACGCCGCTATTCAGAGCGGCAGGATTAAGTTCACGCTCCCATTGCGACACCACGACGTTACAAGGCTGCTCAGACAAGCGCTCGGGAGGGAAGTGTAACCTCTGCTCCCATTTCTGCAGGGAAAACCCAGGGAATTAAGCTCTCGCAGCCGTTCAAGCGCCTGGGTGAAGAAATACAGTTAGGGCTGTAATTGCCTCTTGCTTACAACACTGCCAGCTCCCTGCCCCAGCTTGTTCCTCCTGCTGTTGCTCAGCTGCTTGTGACACTTGTGCACAGCCTCTGTCTGATCCATTGGGAAACAGCTTTCCTAGAAGGGCAAGCTGAGAAAACTGTGGGGGTACCCACAGTAACCCCCACATTGAGACAGGTAAAGGGCAAAAGAGCTGGTTCAGGGTCTGGAGCACAGAGGTGATGGGGAAGGGCTGAGGGACCTGGGGGTTCAGCTGGAGAAGAGAAGGCTCGGGGGGACCTGATCTCTGCCTGCAACTGCCTGACAGGAGGATGGAGCCAGGAGGGGCTGGGCTCTGCTCCCAAGGGATGGGACAAGGGGAACCGGCCTCAAGCTGCACCAGGGCAGGTTTAGATGGAGCTGAGGAACAAGGCTTTGGAAGCCAGCTGAGCTGCCGGCACCCAAATCCTCCCATCACTCTCACTGCTGCCAAACAGGCACCGTGGGAAAAATGACTCCTTTTGGTCTGCTTCAGGCTTCTGCAGGCGGATGCCATCACACACCAGCAACACCCAAAGGCCTTGCAGGGATGATGCCAACCTGCAATGGTGTTTGCAGGGCACAGACACAAGCTGCTTCCCACCACCGGCAGGGCGGATGCTGACAAGGGTTAAACCTCTGCAAACATCCCAGCAAGACCAAGCACATGTAGAGCACCCAAGATGCAAAGGGCTCTGGTGCTCCTGCTGGTCTGCAATCCCAGACTGATGGGATACAGCCTCACACCTAGGACCACAACAAGGGAAAAGCCATGAGAGAGGAGTGTTCAGCAACCTGCAACAAGCACCAAACCAAAGCTCTCTCAAGGAGAAGCTTGGGAATTGCAATGAGCAGGTCCCCGACACAGGGGTTTGACAGGAAGGATGCCTCCCACCCCATCAGCTGGGACACCCCATCCTCAGATTGAAGTTCTCCCCCATCAACGCGACAGAACACAGGCAAAGCAGCTCAGTCCTCAGCAGGGATTCCACAGCCCTTGAGAAAGCAAGGGCTGCCCGTGCCACCTCCACACTTCCTCGTGGGCACTCATCCCTTCAAGCTTATCATTTCTCATCAGCAATTAGCCAGGAGGTAACACTATAGCCAAGCTTTCAGGCAAGACTAAGCCAATAAGAAAGGTTTGGACCTTTGATTCCCCAAACCGCAGCACTTTCAGATACACTTTCTAGGACCAAGGAAGAGCCCAGTGCAAGGCTTTAACCCGGTACAGTAAAACCAAGCTATGCAAGCAGCAGCACCCTGAGGCTGAGCCAAACAAACTGTTGTATTTGTAGTAAATAGCCTAAAAAAAGAGCACAGGAATTACATCTGCAAAGTGACTTAGTGCGGCAGACTTGAGCATCAGCCAGTGTCCACGAGAAGGCATCACCCTACAGCAGGGATTTGGCAGCCTCGAGCAAAGCTTCCTGTTTCAGAGCACTGAACGCATTGTAACCTATGAGCAGCACTGGAAACAGACCCAAAGGTTGAGGAAAACCCTCTTGTAAAGGCAGCAACAGCACTGGGTTATCTCGGAGCTTAAAACCAGGCTTTAAATCCAGCTCGGAGCCACCCCTGAGCAGGCACGAGGGTCCTGAAGCCCTCGCCACGAATCCCAGCACATTCCCATCCTATGGATGCTCGTCAGGAGGGGCTGGATTTCATGATGCTGCCAAGAAGCTCCCAGCAGCGGCTCCGCCGTCAGCGTGACTCAGCAGACCCACCGCTGCCGAGCTGGTCCCATCCAGCCGGGGCTGGGCTTCGCTTGGTTTCTCCTCTTCTCTGCTAGTTTTAACTTGAAGGCATTGCTTCAGAGGCCAGAGCTGACCCAGAGATCCCCATCTCACCCCGCTCCGCTGCTGGGATGCCTTCATTTAAGCACACAGCAGCTTCGCCTCATCAGAAGGGGAATGAGGAATAACCACTCCTTTAAAGCAGTAAACTACCAGCCCAGCCCTGGGTATCTCCACCCTCACTAAGGGCCCAGTTGCTTTCACATCACAAGGGATAAACGTTTTCCCACTCTAGAGGGATCACTCAGCACCCCAGAGTGGGTGGGAAGGGTGCTGGACCCACCTAACCCACGCATGGGTCTGCAGTTTGCATCACCACCAGCACAGCCGGGTCCACCAAGGTTATTGTGGTGTGAGCAATGATTTGCCACCAGCTCTGCAGTCCTTACCCCCCCCCCCCCATCTCCTGCCACCTATCTGAAGCCATCAAGTTCCTCCAGGAGCCTCACCCCCTGTTACCCAGCCAAGAAATACTTCTCCACCTACTTGGATTAATCCTCATTGCATAAGGCACTGACAACCACAAGCATCCTGACAGTCCTGGTTTCAGCTTGGGCATGAGAAGCAACACCAAAAGTCACAGCTTCAGGTCCATCGGGTTACCTGTTTGTGGACCAGCACTGCCTTTATAGGTGCTGTCCGGGGGAGAGCACCCAGAAGAACATCAATAGCCCAGGGTTGGCTTCCACCTAGAGCTGCTTTACTAACAGGAGTCTCTGGCGTTGCATGCTCTCCCAAGGGTCATGGTTTGCCATGCCACTGTACAAACAGGCTGGGATCACATTCGCCTTTGTTTTCCTTCCTGGACACAGCATGCTTTCTCCAAGTTCATGTGACAGACACCCAGCTCCCCGAGGCTAACAAAAGACACGGAGAGCACAGTATGCTTTGACCAGGAAATGAGCAGTGTTTCTGCAGCAACCTGGCCAGACCCTGCTGCCCACAGAAGGCTTTGCTGCTACATGACCCATGCCACGTTCAAGCGCTGAGCTCCCTTTTGTTGCTCCCAAGCAAAGTGGTACCCACCCCTGTCTGCAAAGGCCCACAGAAGGGGAATACAGGGCCAGCCGTGACTTTCCAGCACGCCAACACTGACACAAGAGGAACTGCTCCTCCTGGACCTGCACTGGATGCAGAACCTCCCACCACCAAACCCCAGGCAAGCATCACTAACTCAAAGCCTGAATAAACTGCAGTAAAACAGCTCGCAGGCGCTCATCTGCCCTGCTCAGTCATACTCATGTGCTTTCAAGCTGCTACAAGCAGAGAAGCTCCAAAGCCTCCTTGCTCCAGGCTGGTCATCTGTCCTACCTGAAGCCATCAAAACGCTCCATTCCCTCCCATCAAGCCTCATTGTACCCATCCTTTCCTGTCCATTCCCCTCTCTGGCATCATAGATATAGGCTCCACATTCCTCCCACCCTTCACCCTAGGAATTCCCATTATAGTCCAGGACCTCCCATATCCACTAGGAGCCATACACAGGCACAGCAGAACAGCTTACAGACACCAGCTTGGGTAGGAGCAGGTCAGGCTTTCACAGGTGACTGCAGCATGGTTGGGGCTGGAGGCAGGACTTTGCCATTAGTGTCACTGCGAGGAAGGGAGGCTTGAGCACACCCAGTGTCCCATCAAGCTGTCTGAAGCAATCAGCTCCCACGTGAGGACAATTCCACATCCTCCAGGCAGCCACTTCACCCACCTTGGGAAGCCAGCTCCAACAGCCTTGCAGGGAAGCCACTACACAGCTTAAGAGGATGCTCCAGGGGAGTCCTCCCGAAGCTCCCATGACGAGAAGCCCTTGACACGCTGATCTCTACCACTCATTTGGAGGCTGATCAGGCTTGCCAGGACAGCTACAAAACAAAATGAGCCTAAGGACTATGAGACACTCACCTAAAACCCTACAGCCAGCACTTTAATACAACCACAACGTTAGGTGTGTGAGACAGAGGCCAACACATAGCCAAGGCTGAAGCTGCAAGGGGGTCTTTACCATCAGAAGGAAAAGGCACCAAGCAAGTCTCAGTAACCACAAGCCTCCAGGTTTAGATGGTAAATACAACCCATAACACATTTCCCCTCTATAAAGAAACAGAAACACTGCTGCAAAAACACCTAACTAGTGATGACTTCAGTGGCAGCACGTTACCACAGCAAGGAGGCTGCAGGCAGGGATGTGCACCATGGATTTACATGTTACACAAGCACCAACAGCACTTCTGGGTATTCCCAACACTGCCACACAAGTGCCTGTGAGCTTCACAGAGGTCCACTGGGTGCTCTTGACTCACCTCACCAGGACACCACCATCACGGCCCTGCCCTACCCCAGGAATTGTGCAAGCATCTGAAGCAAGCCATTTCCCAAATTCAAGCCTTTTCAGTTTCTCTTTAGGAGGAAATTACTTGCTGGAGCCAAAACATCACCTCATCAGCCAGGTGCCTGAAACGCCTCTTGCTGCAGCAGCCACAACCCCTCATCTCCTCCTCGGGCTCTGCTCAGACACAGCGGATCCCAGTGAGCGTTATCCACAGAGTCAGGCTAAGGAAGGAGCTTTGCTGCACGGGGAGAGCAGGGCATTTCCCACGGCTGCTTTTACAAGCCTCCAGTAGTGTTTGGTTACTGCCATTACAATAAGAAAGCCCTTTTGGGGTCAGTTCTCACCTTTCCCGCAGGGACAGAGCGGCAGCGAGCGCCCATCGCAGGACCCAAATCCTGCAGCTTCGGATTCCACTCTGCCCCAAAACGCATGGGGTGACCTTGGCCACGCTTCAAAGCTCTCCCAGTGTTTTATCAGCTCCCGAGCACTTCAAGGCAGCTGCTGAGCGGGATTATTCTTGGAGTAAGGCATTGCCCCGGTGCGATCCCAGCACCGGCAAGGGGGGAATTCACTGCCTGGGGAAAGCAGCACTTTCGCCTTCCTCCAAAGCACCTCCCACCCAGGGACACCAGGCACAGCTTTCGTTTTCTCCCTCTCCCTATTCCCTGCAGAGGAAATGCCCTCTTCAACCGCACCAGGGAGGCCCGAGTGACGCTGCCCTGAGCGTGACTTGGCACAAAGCACCCGGCTCGTTTGGGACAGGAGCCAGGCTGGGCTCAGACCCTGCACCTCAGAGCAGCCCCAGCCCACGAGCCAGGTCCAACGGGCACAAACCCAGAGGGAAAACACAGGAAAGCAGCAGAAAATGCTTCCTTTAAGTGCTTATTGCAGCACATGGGCAAGATCTCCAGTGCCTCAAAGCGAAGGCATTTCCTCTCCTCTCGCTACCAGGAGCCCTGTATTGGGAAGAGGAGAATTAGAGCATCTCCTTGCAGCCTTTCCTGAGTGGACCACTGAGGATCCACCAGCGCCAGCAACACAGCATCGAGGGCGCTTGGCTTTTCCCAACCTTTCTTCTCTTTTAAGAGCACACTGGCAGGGCACAGAGAGGAAATACCCTTCGTGATGCTTCCGACCAGGCTTGAGACACTGCGAAGCCCTCCCTCGTGTGCACCCAACAGCACCCAGGGCACACTCATTAGCCTGGAGCTCATTTGCATCGAACCCAGCCACCAACAGCCACACAGACCCCTTTGTAAAGCCCTGACCCCGATAAAACCACCATGGCCACGGCACTGGGGTGGCAGGAGGCCGGGCTCACGCTGCTCACAACCATCCTCGTGTATGCATGGACACAACAACCCCGGCTTTTCTCGCCCGGCCTTGGGATTCCAACACTCCAGGAGGGAAAAGCTGCTCCGGGCGGGCACCGGTGGCATCTCTGCCCCGGGGCGGGAGCAGCACAAGGACTTTGCTTGCTGCAGCGGGCCTTGGCGCACACCTTTGCACCGCGGGTTGTGCAAAGCTCACCGGGATGGTGCTGCCATCGGGGACACCTCGAGGGACCCCTCGGGGGGACCCTCTGCACCGCAGCACCCCTCTCCTCACCCACCCCTGCACATCCCGCACAGCCCCGTACCCTGCTCCCTGCAATGAGCATCCCGCACGCCGGGACCCCCGTGCACCCCGACACCGGCAGCCGTCGGAGCAGCTCCCCGGAGGTACCGGGGGCCTCCGCCACGCACCTTGACCGAGTCCACCGGGTACATGACCGTGTGCTCCATGATGCCCGCCACCGCCCCGGCTACCATGTGAGTGCCGAGCGAGGCGCCGCTGGGCAGGCTCTCGTACTCCTCGCCCTCCATCGGCGGCACGGAGGCAGCCGCGGGTGGGGGGCCGGGCCCCGGGGGTGCGGCCGCGCTGCCCCCCACTCCGCAGCTCAGCTCCATCCGCCCGGTACCGGCGGCGGGGGGCGAGCGGGGGTTAACGGGGACGGGGAGGGTCCGCACGGGGCCCGCGCGCCCCCCCCGGCCCCGCTTTAAAGCCGCTCCCGCGCCTCGCCCCGCCCCGCGCCGCCGTGACGTCACGAGCCGCAGGGCGCCGGCTGGGGATGATTGACGGGGGTGTGGACGAATAGAAAGGCGAGGCGGGTGAGGTGGTGGAGCGGGATTGGCTGCTCTCGGGTGCGGGGGGCGGGACGGGTGTGCAGGCGCGCTGAGGGGGGCAACAGCCCCGCCCGGTGTGAGGCGCGCGGGCCTCGTGGTCGGAGCCGGCCCCGGTGTGAGCGGGGCCCGCCCGGAGCCGCGCCCCTTGCACGGGCGGAGAGCCCCGGGCACGGCCGGGCAGCAGCGTGGGTCCCCCGCAGGAGCAAGGCCCTCACCGGGGGTCGGGTCCTGCAGCGCTGCCGCTGTCCCCGTGCCCGTCAGGATGAGGCACCGCATGGGGAGTCATGGAGTGCGCTGGGGTGACGGGAGCTGAAGGCTCATCCAGATCTGCCCCGGGCAGGGACCCCTTCCACTGGAGCAGGGTGCTCCAAGCCCTGTGTCCAACCTGGCCTTGAGCACTGCCAGGGATGGGGCAGCCACAGCTTCTCTGGGCACCCTGTGCCAGCGCCTCAGCACCCTCAAAGGGAAGAGCTTCTGCCTCAGAGCTCATCTCAGTCTCCCCTTGGCAGGTTAAAGCCATTCCCCTTGGCCTGTCCCTACAGGCCCTTGTCCCAAGCCCCTCTCCGGGTTTCCTGCAGCCCCTTCAGGCACTGGAGCTGCTCTCAGGTCTCCCCTTAAGGAGCCGCCTCTTCCCCAGCCTGGACGGCTGCTCTGTATGGGCTTGAGCCTCGCATGGGGAAGGAAAGCCTGTGGAAGGGCTTAGGAGACCTTTGTGCCCTTCCCTGCAACAGTTTTTTGCATCCATCATCCCTCTATGCAGCTCCCACCCCATAGCAGAGCCATTAATCCTGGCCTTTCCACAGGAGGATCGAGATCCCCCCACGCCCCTGCGTCCCAGAACACTCCCTTTGTAAGGCTCCCTTTGTAACACCCCTTTGTCCCGCCACGAAATCAGCCCAAAACAACTGCATTTGACGCTCTTAAAGAGACGGAGACAACCGCGTCTTCTCCAGGCACAGCGCTGCCTTCGTTCCGTTCTTCCTGGAAGGATTAATTGGAATTCGACCTTGCTGGGACGGTGGCATTGCGTGGCCTGCACTGCAGTCAAGGTTAACCGTTCGCGTGAAGCACCATGAGACTGCAAAACAGTTTATGGCTGCTTGAGTCTTGGGAAGCACGTAAGGAAACCGGCCTCCGAGAGCCTGGAACAGCAGGAAAATGAAGTGCTTGGATGTCCCATTAACAATGGAATGAATGCATGTGAGGTGGGAAGAGCCTGGTCTGTTCTCACCCAGGTACTTGGAGAGGGGCTGCAGCATTGGCATGTGCCGGCCTCCTTCCTCCTGCCCTATGTTTGTGCTGGGAAGCCTCCATTCCTGGTGGGAACACGATGTGCGACTTGCTTCTGATTGAGTTTTGGTACCTGGTACCCAGAGCAGTGCTTGTATGGGGGGTGGGAGAGATGGAGCGAGAGATAGAGCTGTCCTCCTTCCTCCTGCCCTATCTTTGTGCTGGGAAGCCTCCATTCCTGGTGGGAACACGATGTGCGACTTGCTCCTGGTTCATTTTGGGTACCTGGGACCCGGAGCAGTGCTTGTATGGGGGGTGGGAGAGATGGAATGAGACCTGGGCACTGTCCTGTGTGTCCAAGCCATGACACTGACATGGAATCATGGCAATCCCATGAGAGCAGGCATCACCAAGTGTCCTGAGAGCTGCAGGAATCAGAGACTGTAGCAAGCCCTTCACCAACCTGGGATTTAACACAGGGATTTCTAAATGTCTCCTTCCTTTCCCCTGGATTATCACAGCTTCGTTTCCATGTCGCTGGCCCGCTTTGACGCCGCGTTCCGACACTGTGGAGCCAGGGAGCCACGTGCACACACGTAACTCCGGCAGACAGCGCTCCGGGTGCTCACCCACGGCTGCGGGCCGTGAATCAATGCAGGGCACAAGAGCTTCCTTCTTGTAAGGCAGCCTTGTGCAAGGAAATGCCTGAGCTCCGGCTCCAAGGGGAGCGCTTTCCACTATTGCTCCATGCAGTTTGTCTGGGGTTTCTATTCCATAAACAGCCGTCAGCAGGAGCTGATCTCCTCCCAGTGCTTTTGGCAGGGCAGAGGAGGGTGGGGGAAATTACAGTGTCGCCTTAATGAGCCCTTTCCCCTACAGTCTTAGCTCTGGCTCCCTGATAAGCATTAGTATGAATCAGTCTGAAATACGGTGCTCGTTCCAGGTAGGAACAGGTTATAATTTAACCCTGGGGAGCACGGGCACAAGGAATCCTTTCTGCTCCTGCTCTGGTGCCCCTAGAGCCGCCCTAGGGCACAGAAAGCTGCTTCAGCCAGAGGTGTCAGAGCAGAGATGCAGGGGTTTCCCTGCATGATTTTCCCCATGTTCCTGAAGAAGAGATTAAATCATTCATCATTTATGGGGCAGGGAAGCTGGTCTGGCTTGTGGTTTTGTCATGTCACATGCCCCGCCGCAGGAAAAGGAACAGCCCAGTGCCTCCTGTATGGTTTCCTGCCATCCCTGCCTGGCAAATAAGAGTCATCCCTTGCAGAGCATCACCAGAGTGAGCTTGATTTACAAACCCTTCCTTTGAAACAGATCTTGTGCAATGATTCCCTTGCTGCCTCCCAGGGCACCACCACAGCTCAGTGCATCCCATCCCTGTGCTGGAGCTCCCCAGGTCCCTCTGCGAGCTCCAAGTTCCATCGCAGCAGAGAAGCAGCAAAGAACACACCGATTTATGCTAACAGCACAACCTGGCTGCAGGCTGCATGGAGCACACTCCTTTCTACACCAACAAGTCAATGCAGAAGACACCATCGCAATCTGCACGTGCATTGCATCACAGCGAGCAGCTAAAGATGATGAATCAGAGCCACAGATCTGAGTCCTCGCTGGTGCGTAACCTTCTTCATGGGGCCCGTGCACCGTAGGGCAGCTTTGAACCAGCAGAAATAGAACCCAAGACCAGAAACATGAGGAGGAATGCGAAATAACCTGCAAAATGAAGGGAAATGCTCTTGGCTTCCCTAAGACCTGGCCCAAAGAAGGTGTCTGCAGCCCCCAGGCCACCTTCCTGGTGCTCCACAGCTGATTAGGAGCACCCAGTTTGCTTATCCTGGTCCCTTACCAGGCAGGAGGTGCAGCACAGGGCTGCACCCATGGTGATAAGGCAGGAGTGTCCTCCTGGGAGGCAGCCACCTTCTGGAACCACACAAGCTGTGGGTTATCTACACCATGCAGTGGGAGGGATGTCATTTTCTTCTTCACTTTCCAAATGTACAAGCTCTCTAACAGCTGAGCAACGCCTTGGCTTAGGTGTGTTGTAGCTGCCACCATCATGGGGCTGCCAGCAGCGGTGCAGAGGCATGGGTGCTGAGTTGGGATGAGGAAAAGGCACCCAGATTCATCAAATGCTTTGTGTTGGAAGGGATCTTAAAACTCATCCTATTCCAACCCCTGCCATGGGCAGGGACACCTTCCACTAGAGCAGGGTGCTCCAAGTGCCTCAGCACCCTCACAGGGAAAAGCTTCCTAAGATCCCATCTCATGATGTGGGTGCAGCCCCTTCCTGGCACACCAGCACTTGGCCACCCCCAGCCCCATCCCTCCTTAGACATGTTCAGTTCTCAAAATGGATTTCAGTCAGCAGCCCTGGACCTGTTTCCCTGGGAAAAGGCAGCTATGGGGATGCGGCACTTGCTGGGAAACCTGATGTGTTCCCCTTTATTTCATTATCTCCATATTAACCATTGCCACAGAAAATAAGCAAGCAATGTTGTTTTGTCTTCAGGTTGGACTGACCCACTTCTGTGAGCAGCAGTGTAGAGCAGCCCCTGGTTTTAAGCCCTTGCTGAACACACTGAGGTGCTGGTAGGTGAGTTAATGCTGCAAAAGCAAGAGCATTAATCCCTGCTCTGGCACACAGCTCAGAACATCTCTTTCTGCCTTGATTCCCCAGCACT